TATCGTGCCGTTGGTCTTCTTGATAACGGCTATAGGTGCTGCCCAAGCAGAGTAAAAAACGGGAGTAATAACTCCTTGTCGTTGAAGACGATTCAATTCTTCGACTACTGTTACTAATGTTGCGTAAGGTACGGGTCTCTTTGGACGGAAAGCAGGCTTAGCCCCATGTTTCAACCGAAGTGTTGCTTTCATGGCAGTGCACCAACCGAATCCAGGTTGAAAAATGGTTGAAAACTCCGTCATCAGCTTCCCTGTATATTATTCAGAGTCATGTGGTTGTGATACCAGGTTGTATATGGTATTTAACAGGACATCAGCCTATCTTAGCTGGTCGAACCAATCTAAACTAAGTAAATTTATATAACATACATCAGTAAATGACGAGTCTCGGGAAGAAACTTTACATTCCAATTGTTCTAACAGATGAAGGTAATTACCACATGCTGTATGAGGCTTCAGTGTTGTGTGCTGCAGGCTTGGGCTGCCCGATTTGGTGCAATGTTTACGTGAGAGGATAGTGACGTCAGATGCGGTATCGTTTTGCAGTCTGAACGGATGCCCGTAATTATTAAGAGTAATAAATCCCCCCCCAGGCATGTATCAAGCGAGTTATGCGTGTCTAACGTCCTCAACAGTAAATGTTCAACTCCTGAACAGTCAGGCGATAAAAGTGTCGTCTCTAAAAGCGTGCCAATAAAAAAATTGAATAAGAGTGGAGAAAGTGGACATCCCTAACAAACACAACATGAAGTATTTAATCACGATGACAGTTCGCCATAATCTCTGATTCTGCCGGTAGTGTTCGAGTAGAGGGCATGTACAAGGTAAAAGTAATTCTCTGGTACTACTTTCAGTGACAGATACTGCCACAGAACCTCACGATCATCAGAGTCAAATGCCTCTTTAAGGTCCAGGAATTCGAATATTGTTGGAGGTCTGAATGTGCGTTTGTGTTCTAGGACATGACGAATTGTGAATATCTCGTCCATAATAAATAATCAATAATTTTGTATTGACTCCACTTTTACGAAAAGAAGGCGAGTGGTTAGACAGAAGGATTCATTATTATAACCAATCGCATCAGTGATTGTTTTATTGAACTGATTTTTTATTCACACATTTTGTATAACACTTTTCCTGTTGCGCAGGCGCCATGTTGCTTTTGCTGCTCTACATTTTCGCCCATATTCTCCGGAACGATTTCAGTATTCTTGTAATATCGATTTGAGACTTTATCTGTAGTCAATAAAAGGACTGCATAAATTCTTGTTTCGTATCAAATTCCGTATTTCAACTGACCATCAGCCGTTAAAGTCTACTTACCACCCGACTGAGTCACTCCATCGATCATCGCGGCAGTGAAAAGAGGTTGGAATATTCAGTGAAAACATCGGTTTCTGGGTTTTACAAAAAGAGAGGATATTTCACTACATCCTGAAGGCGTTTCGTGCTTTATTGAGAAAGTAATTATCTCTTCAGCCTTCCTTATTTGGTTTCGCCTTGACGGCTACAGGTTAGGTCTTACCTCTTGACTCAATTGCATTGTCTTCACTGTGTGTGTCCTATTTAGCTGTAGAGACTTTTCCTAATTCCTTCCTCAGCTGAAATCTGGTTTGCTTTCTGCCACAGTATGTTGTTGCTGGTGTCTGGCGAACGGATCGTCAGCACCTTGTGTAGGGGTACCTATTCTGTCTATGGAAGAATGAAAATCCAACAAGTACGCCTGGGTGAAAGAGGAAGGCCTATCTTCTTAGAGCGTGAAATAATTTTGTATTGACTCCACTTTTACGAAAAGAAGGCGAGTGGTTAGACAGAAGGATTCATTATTATAACCAATCGCATCAGTGATTGTTTTATTGAACTGATTTTTTATTCACACATTTTGTATAACACTTTTCCTGTTGCGCAGGCGCCATGTTGCTTTTGCTGCTCTACATTTTCGCCCATATTCTCCGGAACGATTTCAGTATTCTTGTGATACCACGAAATCGCCAGGAAATTTACTCCTTCATCTGGACTATCTCTTCTTCCCTGTTTTTGGTTCACGATGGGACTACAATGTAATTGGTTTGTAGGCGTTTCAATAGTCAACCTCAACTCGATCCACTACAATTTCTTTTAATTTTGAAGAAACTGTGACAAATGAGTTAGATGAACTGGTTGTGAAAAGAATGATAATCACGGTCGAATCGTACATTTGGGCTACGCCCGTTGTGAAACTACTAGAAGGAAATGGAAAAACCCCTAGCAGTCGTGGTGAATACCTACTAATGCTAAGTACTTGGCTGTGTTAAAGACTCTAGTGTACTATCTATCCTAATTACACAGATACAAATTCCTACCATTCGGATTGAATGTTTCGCCTGCGATATTCCAGAAGGTTATAAGTCAGATTATTACCGGTTTTGATGGTGTTGAGTCGTTTCAAGATGACATTGTATTTTTTACCGAAAACTTTGAATAGCCGAAAGAACGACTTCTAAAGATATTCAGATGCACTCGTGATGCGCATGTGGCTGTAAATCGATGAAAGTGTCATATTTCAATTCATTCTATCAAATGCCTAAGCTATACTGTCGATGCCAAAGGTTCGAGACCCGATATGAGTTGCCTAGTTACACCAATCCAAACACCATTACCTACGAGTACCTCAAGACTCAGATCACGGATTGATAAACTTCAATTTTATTTCAAGTTTATTTCTGACTCAGTATAAATATTATCTCAACTCTTTGACTTGTCTTCTAGTAGAGAGTTTGTACGAAACAACGACACGAGGATACACTGAGAAAAATATGCAGTACTTAAATAATGAAGCCTTTCTCTGGCCATTTCCACCAACAGAAAAATTTACTCTAACTACCGATTCATCTCCATTGGGGTAAGGTGTCGTTTTAGAGCAGAACGAGAAACTTGTCATTTTCATTTCAAGACGACCAAGAAAGAGTATACAAGGATATTCACAGACCGATTTGAGGCTTTATCTGTAGTCAATAAAAGGACTGCATAAATACTTGTTTGGTATCAAATTCCATATTTTAACTGACTGTCAGGCGTTAAAGTTTATTTACAAATCGACTTAGTCAATCAGGAAAATTGAATCGATGGGCAGAGCATTTCAGAAATCAATTCAAATGGCCTTCAACCACACCTCGGTTACTCACGATCTCCAGTCAACCTGAATGGCAAAAACATTTTAGTAGTTCTCCAACTCTAATTGAAGTTGAAAAGGCTCTCGACAGTGTACCCTGAATCAGTCTAACTAAAGTAGTGTCTTAAATTTTAGCCTCAATAATACTTCGAAGCCTGAGTAGAGCTCGTGCTGAGCAGATTCTAGAAAATCAGAGTGGATTCAGTCTTACAACACAGATACACATTTGGACGTCCGACAATAGTCATTTGACTCTGTCGATCGTCAGATTCTATGGTAGTCTGCCACTGAAAGGAGTAGCAAAGAAGTAGATTACCTTAACATAGGCTCTTTACTCGAACACTACTATTCGAGTGCGATCATACGGCGAACTGTCACCAGATCTGATTAGCTCATGTGGTGTTCGTCAAGGTTGTTCACTTTCTCCATTCTTATTCAACTTTATCATTGACATGCTTTTAGATACAACACTCTCATCATCCGACTTTTCAGGAGTTGAACTTTTACAAGAAGATTCACTTGTTCACTGAGAATATGCAGATGACATAGTTCTACTTGGAAAAGTCTCTGACGAAATGCAGAGTCTTCTGACCACCTTAGGCAACAATGCAAGCATGTTCGAGATGCGATTCTGCTAGTCGAAATGCGAAACGTTGCTTCAAGATTGGGTTGCATCGGCACCTGAACTATTAATAATGAATGAGGTAGTTGAGCGTTTTGACCGCGTCTCTTATGTTGGAATTATCATCAGTGCTGATGACCTGGTGTGTATTCGGTCAAAAGTGTCTTCGAAGCATCGCTTGTATTCCCTGGGACCACCGAGTAGTCAGTGCTGGTGTTAGTTAGTTAAAGGGTACTACTAGGTAAGGATGACAAATCAGTAGATGAAGTACTGAGCCTTCATCAGTTGAAGAGGTTGGGACGTGTGTGTTACGTATTTCCAACAACTCACTGCCTCAGGGATATATGTTTTGTGGTGTAGAAGCAGGCTGGAAGAATGCTAGGGGGGGGGCGTTCAAACCAAAACATGAGTACAATCCTTAAATTTACTGACAAGTGGACTGAGCTATGTCAGTTTGTGTAGACTACCAGTTCGGAGTCCATGTGACTATGGTATCCGATTGGTTCGACTTTGAATCATGTGGGTAAAAATCTTTTGCAATGCCCCAGACTGACCATTCTTTGTCTTCTCTAAAATTCTGATCTTCTGAACCTCTCATGACCGTTTTTCCCCAATTAAGTCGACTGCACCGTGACAAATCTCTCGAATCAAATCTTTGTAATCATTGCTTATAACTGTACCACCCCTACTACTATGAGATTTTAATTTACGATTTGATCTCTGTGCTAATTGTGGTATGGCAACTTGAACTCGTTTACGAACGTACCAGGTTACACGTTGTAGCAGACTGACTATTTGAACACGCAATGCTTTGTACATTTTACAGGAAATTTGAAGGTTGGTACTTACAAATAAAGTAAGATGGCAAACCTAAATTAGTTGTTCTGAGCAGATGACATTTTAGGTAACAAATAACAAGATTAATACTAACTAAGTATCACGTAAATCTCATCAGTTATCAGTTTGAATCACATGAATGAATACGGACGCCGTTGATGATTCTCATCAAATGTGATCGATAACTTGAGTCAAAATGTTTCGGTGCTAAACATTGCAACTTGGAGAAACTACACTTTACTCATTAACTATGGTACAGCGATGATCCATGCATCCAAACATTGAGTGATTGTGATAGATTGTAAACAACTCACAATCATCACTTCATACATACATTTCATCACTTCATCAAACCCCTTCGCAATGTGGTTCTTCATTAAAATCAAAATTAATTCGTAAAATAACAATTATTTTGAGCAGTTGTCGTCTATCACATAAACATGCATACATCCACACAGGTATGTATGCTGTCATAACAAATAAGTAGTATCAATATGTTTCGTCCAAAAAAGAAAATACATGGAAGAAGTAAGCGAAATCAAAAGCAAACAAGCAAACGAACAAGGAAGGAAGAATGAAAGGAAATTATCTGTTATTAGGTAAAAAGAAAAATTCAACAAAAATTAATATGCACTTATGATGGCGCATCAGCATTAATTTCTCCTATTGAACATTTAAAAAAAAGCATTGATGAAGAGAAGAGTATGCTGTTGCTCCTATGCAACCGATATCAATGACGGTAATCTGGTTAAATCACAAAGTGTTATCGAATTTAGTCTGATGTTCTTGTTTTGTTTGTTTGTTTCGTGGTTTGGTTTTCTAATCCTCTTTATTTTTACAAAGGACAAAATAAATATGAATTGAAAAGTGAAATGTCGAAAAAGAAATGGCAACGGTCATCACCATTTACAAGAGTTGACAAAAACAAGAGAGAGAGAAAACAAACAAACCGAGTACAATTCATTATTCGATTGAATTATTATTATTATTGTTATTATGATTCTTTTTGTAAGGTAACAAAATAAATGAAACGTGAAAACACCACCGAACACATGTGTACATAAAGATATATATATAAATATCACTGGCAATTAACTTTGATCAATAATATCGAAATAATCTACCACTAATGAAGATTTGTGTGTGCGTGATTCTTCATTAGTGAAAACAAATTGAAAGTAGAAAATTTAAAGAAGCGTCAGTGATGTGGTTATTATTCATCACATCCTTTCACTTCGCCGTCATTTCATTTCACCGCCACCACCGCTTCTAGCCTCTTTCTTTACCTTCCAATGCCCAATATAAAATTGTCATTGTCTATTTACGAAATAACGATGGCAATAATACAGAGAATGATAATTGGGAAATATTTTTAAACAATAAACGAATCCAATTCAATAGACCAGTGAATAATTTTACACGAACTGGTTGTGCATCACGATGAACAATGCATGAGACTGGAGGAGAGTTTGTACATTTACATTTATTATTATGCAATGATGATGCTTCCATCATGGTTGTGTGTTGTTGTTGTTGTAGTGGTGGTTGTTGCTGGTAGTGGTGATGTTGTGGTGATTGGTGAGGATGTTGATAATTGACTGAACAAGTGTTCTTCAAATAGTCGATATCGGCAATGGTTTCAGTGCTAATTATCATTGCATCATCATCAGAATGATCATCATTGTGTAGACGAACAGGATGAAAATTTTCACAATCAGAATGACCATGGCCATGTGAAGGAAACAACAATAGTGAAGAGGAAGTGATTAGTGTTGGAGAGTTGGATAAGTCACATGCATCACAAACATTTCGATCATAACAATAATCATGATGATGTTGATGATGGAGATAAGGAGATGAAGGATGCTGCTGCTTAATCCATGCTTTAGTGAATAACACAAAACAACAATTTCAATGCAAGGAAATATAGGCATGAATAAAGATGAAATGGACAAAACACTACACAAAAGTTAAATATATTCATGCATAATGTTAGACCAACGCAATTGAAAACTTTCAAGCACTTGTCAACTGTTTCGTACGAGAATGGCAGAAATTCATCAACAGTGCGCATCCACGATATTCACTCACCCAGAGTTGAACACAGGCGATTTTTGTCTCGCACAAAAATGCTCAACTTCCTAATACACCACTGTCTTAGCGTCACTCAACTTCAATCGATTCAGACTTTGCTCCATGTTCGCCTCTGAGAATTGTATATACGTGCATAAACCAGAAAACAGAGAATCAGTGCGTAGCTTCTATTGAAAAGCCAAATCCAAAGTATACATACACACAAGAATAACTCAAACTCATTTCGCTCTCCAGAAAACAAATCTAGAGACTGTGCCCGTTTCCCTCGAAACGACAGTGATATTCCTGACCTGTAACATGCACACTTGTCAGTGTATTCTACCTCAAACCACAACTTATCATCAGTTTCTTCTATCCATATTGGACAGAACATCCATATTCTGCTATAAAATATTTAACATTGTTTAGTTTAACAGTTACTTTTTTTGATGCATTGGCTAATTGATAAATTCAACAAATCTTAAT